TACCCTGCCCTTCCAGAATTTTTTATAAACGTGATTATTACGACTTACTTTAGACGCAAAATTTCTTGATGCAATTCTAATTCATAAGTTCGTGAGCTTCTTCTAATGAGTCATTCTCTACGTGGCCTCTTCTAAGGCCTCAGCCATATCCTGTAACTTAGGGAAATCCACATCAGTCAGTGCCTCGGAAAGGGATATTATAAGCCTGGTTTGGGCTCTTATTATTTCGCGTAGCATGTTAATGCTATCATTAAACCTATGCCTATTCATTTTCATGTTTTAGCTATGAGATAAGGTAGAACAGGAGAGTCTTCTTGACCAAGTGTTAACGTGAGACTTTTAAAAGAATGGGTTCCAGCTTTAATGATGTCCATTATTTGACGGACGAAAGCTCAGCTTGTTTTCCCCCGAAATGAGAGTGAGGTCTCGTGGACTGCGCCAACCTGAACATCGTATTAAAACCAAACAACTTCAATACAACGGAAATTATCCGTCTCCCCAACAATGAAATTAACTTGCATCTTATGATAACAGATTTCATTGTTGAAAAAGTCAATTATCGTCTAACTCGAATTAAGACAATAAAAATGTACTAATATGAGATGTATTCACCCAATTTCGTTTAAGGCGATGAAGGACTGGTAGAAGAAGAATTTTCCCATAATGATATGAGTTAAGCTGACGTTTCTATTGAATTTCATATAGCCTTGCTTTCCCAAAAGTTGTTCTCATCCAGGATCGACTGCACTTTCAACCTCGCATTGGTCTTATCAACACCCCCAGCGGGAGTCGAACCGTGACAGTGCAGAAAGGGAGCTTGACACGTTAACCACTCTACCATAGTGCCACGAGTGCCTTTGGGTCACAGGACAAATGTGAATTTCAATAAGGCTCGGCCTTTTTGCCATATTATATCCTTTGGTGGGATTGTCGATGAAGCAAATACAAAAAATTTACTTTTCAAGTCAATCTGAGAGTATAAAATATGCTTGTAAGTTTTTGAATAGAATACAAATGTTTATTGACAATTGCTCATAAATTCCAATCACTTGGCTCTTATGTTTGTCCATATTTCATGTAGATTCTCTTCACAAAAGTATCTCGCCACCCTGGACTTATCAATTGACTACTCAGGTTGGCATTTAGTCACTGTGTTTGCGGGTTCACCAATGGCTTTGTTGGCGAACCGCCTCGGCGTCAAATGGTGCAGAGAACCGATCGTCTACAATCTTCTGCCCGGCCAGATGTCTCAGCACTTCTTTGTTGATTCGAGGAGTGGTTCAGTTTACGTGAATAGTACCCTTGACCCATCCGTATTCCTGCGAACGAGCACACTCACGGTAGGCCTCCGGAACACGAACTTTTGATCTTTTTCTCACAAATATCATCTGCTTGTGACGCGGTGTTTTTTCAACTATACGGATTTCCACTGGGTTTTACTTGATTCATATCACTTGTGGTATTATTTAGCGAAAGTTTACTCTACTTGGTCTTCGCATTCTATTCATTTTACCCTTTATTGGGAGGAAAAAGTTGAATGGAGATGAATCATGGATGGTTTTCACTGAACCTCGAAGGCAGATTGTCATAGACATGCGTATTTTGACTTAAGCGCCTTCTAAAACGGAGGAATGCGTGTAAGCTCTAGTCCATCCTGTCTTTACACATCGTTAAAACAATAGAAAATAATATACTCGGTTAGGAAAAGAGGATGATAAAAGTGTCAGCAAACTCTTGTAACTCTCAGGATAAACTCATTGGCTTCCCAAAGCCAACCTTCTAGGAGGGTTTTGGTAAGACTAAACTACGAATATCTTCACTCTAAATTTTCCCAGAGTTACTTATTTATAACAATTTGCCATTTGCGAAAGTAATTTTCATCGAAACACCTACTCGAAGTTTCTCAAGGTTCACAATATTCACCGGCCTGGTTCTTGCGAAAGAAGTAACATTGAGGTGGAAGGAACTTTAACTTCTTACAATTTTTTTAATATGCAGTTTCCTTGCTTATTTTCCTGGTATATTGCACTAAAATAGTTGATGTAGACCCCTGTTTTCGGCAGACAAGTCACATTTGACCCAATCTGCTCCTCAGTTTTCATTACGCAGCAGGGCCTTGTGAACTTCATGGTGAACCGTCTCCATCACAGTCGCCAAGTAAACACAACATGCTACAATTCATACTCAGCTAGAGCTCGTAAAACTAAATTTGGCCTTTGCAGAATCAGGCTGCAGCGAATTTTGGTAAATGTCGTCATATTTTTCATTGGCCCAACTAAAAACCTCATGGAAAGATGAAAGCGACTCTTCAAGACGATCATAAATCTTGTGATAATAACTAAAATATACTCTATTTATTATACTTTATTTGATATGTTAAAGCAGAATACAACGAATATTCCCCAGTATGGTTTGCAAATATGCAAATTCAAGAGGACAGTATTTCTACAAGACTAGATGGTTTCGTCTATAAATCCTGCCAGAACTTGGACGACAAACATATGCTACTTGTATGTATGAGGAAAGCATAAGTTTAGAAAAATCCTTTTATCTTGCTTCATTTAGTTTATTTTGACAAGTTGGTTAAGGAGATTCATCAGCTGGCCTCACAAGAAACTGAGTGAAGATTAATTTGCAGTTATGAATGTGGATTTGTGGAAGGAATTCTTACGATATGGTGAATCTGGGCCGGCCTTTCGTCTATCTCATCGGGGCATAAATCGTTCTCTCGATTAAACTTGGCTATTTATAAATCAAAATCGGTGACCAGCTGCACATCTACCTACGCCTTACAATCGAAATTTGCTGTCTTAATGAGTCGTCCCATGATTCAAAAGGCTGGTTCATACTTA